TCTCAATGACGCAAAATGAGCCCATTTTGTATATGTATTCTATGTAATAAAATCAATTAAATAAAACAGAAATTTTTATCTAAAATCATGTAAAGAACGAAAAAAATCCCATCGAAGCTTTTGCTTATATCATTAATTCTCAAAAAAAAAAAAAAAAAAAAAAAACAAGTTTGAGATAAATTAAATTAATTTCTTGCCGAGAGGGATTTTTTTGTTGTTCCGTTAAGTGTGAGACGGTTACAGTAAACCGCATATGAAATGACAGCAAACTTGCTGCCATGACTGCGACTAATTTCAACTTTTGTTCCGTCACAGCTGTAAATGTTTTGCCGCTTAGTTGAATACACTACACCAAATCGACCTAAAGTAATATTTCTTTACGGATATTACAAATATGAAATTGTTTATCTTAGTATTTAATTAAATATAAGATTAATGTGTTGATTGACTTTTATATAAGTTTAATTTTTCATATACATGTACATACGCACACATATGTACAGAGTTGAGCTTAGTGCTTTTTGATTGGTGGGTGTTGTAGCCAATAGAACAATCTTAAAAGCTCAAAAAATTGTAAATTGGACCGACGTTCCGAGCTTTTATGGGCCCTGTTTTTAAGGCACAAAACGTTCCAAAAACATGAAATAATCACGAGCGACAGTTTTAAGAAGGCGTACACATTAAGAGAAGTACAGATTCTATCAATTAAGAGCATGATTGCGCTTTTAATCATATCATCATCATCAATTGTTACAATCCACCTATCTTTGTCGTCAAGTAGCATTAAAAAATATTGAGCCCCAACGAGTATAAACTGAAAGTAATATAACCTGTGGCACTTTTCCTTCAAGTCTTGTTTTTTGTTTTAAATATGTAAATCCACGGCATTGTTTTAAAAGATAGAAAATACTTCTCTAGGTGAACATAAAAATATAATTTGACATAGTGTTCAAATACTATAATTGCTGTAAATTTCCATTTTCTCTTATAAGAATAATCAACTCAGATGCTCCGGTTTTTCATATTTTCTGAACGTTTAGTACCAAAAACCACATCCATTAACCGTACATGGATATTGAGAAATTGTTTGTTTAATATTTATTTTGTGTGTGGTCACCGCTGAAATTAAATTCCAGGGGCTGTCAATAGCTAGATCACTTCAGCTCCCAACATATGCAATTTTTGAACTACGGCAAACTCACACTCTCATTAATTTTGAATGTTTTTCCTATTTAAATAACACTGACTGAAGTAGAATGGTGTAGTACTTGATATTCCTCAACCTTTACACATAGGCATAAATAATCATACTGAAAGTCTACGGGGTAGTAAATATTGCAAAATAGGCCCTCTCACACTAACCATTTCCTCTGATAAATACATTTACTTCAATCTGTTTCCTTCAAATAAATGGATCAAGAGAAACAAAGGGCTCGTTGCACCTCCGTTAATACCCGGGTTCACTGGAACGTCATTCATAATTTGAATCAAATTCAGAGAAGGAGCGTTTCACCGTCTGTACGGGACCACCATTCAACATTAAGTTGGTAGAGCTTATTGTCGTCTCTTTGTACGGTTATAGTTAGTGATTGTATTTATCATTGTTGACGTTGGTTGTTGTACCAGTTTCCATAGAATTTTCAGTATTTAGTACTCTTGTGTTTGTACTTATTTTTCGGATTATGTGGGTTTACCTCTAATTGATATTCCCAATTTAAAACATAGCATAAACAAATGTGTATTGATAAAACAAAATTACAAATGTTTATTATTATCATTACTAAAATCACTAATTTCGTAGTCCGCTTGACCAATTAATATATTACAATTAATTAAGGTTTTTTTAGTTGAGATAAAAACGTCAATGGCACGAGCGGGATTCGAACCCACAATCTTCGGCTAGATACGCCGCTGCTCTACCACTTGAGCCATCGTGCCCTCATCCACTCGGACACTAACTTCCCATCTCAACCCCACCTTTTGAATTTTCCCTCCTTTTTGCCATTTTTCAAATGTCGTGTAATCGGATTTGATTCTCGGCGACAAATGAAATGGCCACGGAGAGCTTTAGTGAAGTGTACTTCATGGTCCGCTTGGCCAATTAATATATTACAATTAATTAAGGTTTTTTTAGTTGAGATAAAAACGTCAATGGCACGAGCGGGATTCGAACCCACAATCTTCGTCTAGATACGCGGCTGCTCTACCACTTGAGCTATCGTGACCTCGATCCACTCGGACACCAACCTCCCATCTCAACCCCACCTTTTGAATTTTCCTTCCTTTTTGCCGTTTTTCAAATGTCGTGTAATCGGATTTGATTCTCGGCGACAAATGAAATGGCCACGGAGAGCTTTAGTGAAGTGTACTTCATTCTAAATCATTAAATTCACTAATTTCGTGGTCCGCTTGACCAATTAATATATTCCAATTAATTAAGGTTTTTTGTTGAGATAAAAAAGTCAATGGCACGAGCGGGATTTGAACCCACGATCTTTGGTTTGATACGCCGCTGCTCTACCACTTGTGCTGTCGTGACCTTGATCCACTCGGACACCAACTTCCTATCTCAACCCCACCTTTTGAAATTTCCCTCCTTTTTGCCATTTTTCAAATGTCGTGTAATCGGATTTGATTCTCGGCGACAAATGAAATGGCCACGGAGAGCTTTAGTGAAGTATACTTTATTTTAAATCATTAAATTCACTAATTTCGTGGTCCGCTTGACCAATTAATAATTCGATTAATAATTAATAGTTCGAATCCCGCTCGTGCCATTGACTTTCTATCTCAACTAACTAAACCTTAATTAATTGTAATTATTATTACTATTGTATATTATTGTATGTAATGAAGACCAACCCTCAACTGTATGTCTGAGACTGTAACATATTAAAATAAATTTAAAAAACACCATTCGATTCTAGTGCTTATTTTATGCCAGTTTTACTGAAAGGTAAATTTTGAAAGGATCACCCATTTCTGAGTTATGCCAGATTTTTTCCTTTGCAAGCAAACAGTAGGTTCTCACTTGTTTTGACCGAGTATGATATATTACATTTTGTTTTACCTTTCTTATCTAATGGAAAATATGTATTTTAAAATATCAATGTTTCGAAGTTCTTCTGTTTAAATGTCTAATGTCAATGACCTCTCCTATTTTAATTTCTGTTTTTATTATTTTCTCGAAGTTATTTCTCTTGAAATCATCTGGATTCTATCGCACAGTAATGTATACCAGATTATTCATTTCATATTATGCTTTCCAAAAAAATGTAGATAAGAACTGAGAAGAGAGATATGCTTATAGCTTTTGCTGGGCAGAAAGGAAGGTCTGCGTCTATTCTCTACAGGTTGCTTATGATGTCTTAATGGTTACCTTATCCTTTGGATTCAGCAAATTATATTTTGCTTTACTTTTCTCAGAGAGAGGTTTCCGGATAGGAGACACGCTGATCTTCGAATTATATTATATCAGAATTTGGGTCAGCCTGGGTCATTTATGGTAGCTGCACCGATCACGTCCGGTAGTAACGCCCGAAAACGGTGTTCCCTTCCGTTGAGGAAAATCCTCGCCTCTCAATTAGAGAGTGATGGTCTTCGGCTCTGTCGTTCTGGCGAATATTAAAAGTAAATAATTTTCGTGCTTATCTCTCACAAGGCATTCGGAAGGGAGATCCAACGAGTCGTTTGGATTTCATTTCACGAATCCTCAAATGGACATGGAAAGGGACCTGCTGAGCTGAATCCAAATTCTCACATATCGAGATTTTGAATGGGCACAACAATATTTTCTGGGCAACAGAAAATCCTGGTTGGAATATTCAAAATCGTTATCAAACAATCAATTCGACTAATACTTGGTGCGGATAGCTCGGCAACCAGCACGTTAGACCACATTTTTAGCGAACACTCAAGGGGGAACGGAATCAGTCAATCAGTTCCCTCCCTGTTCTCTTGAAGAGAATTCCGCTATCCACCAGCCACCAGGCGTATGTGGTTCCAACAAGACGGTTTTTTGTAAAAAGAGGTCTTTCTGAAAAAAGTAATATATGCTCGTTTTATATTATATATCGTATCGTAAATGCAACCCCATGATTCAATTTTGAGACGATACCTATCCTAAATTAACTAGCTAATGCTAATCGTTTTCGAAATAAACAGGGAGGTACATCTTGTTGTTGCAAAACGTATACCCCTCACTTGTCCTTGAAGTTGAACCAGGATCGTAGTTTGAACTCGGTACAAGACAAATTGAGAAACAACAATTTTTCATTTCGACTCGTTTCAGCACTGAACAGAGTTTAAACCAAGTTGGTAAACGGGCTCTAAAACTCGCCCCTCTGTAATAGCATAATTGTCATATCGAATAGCATTCCTACACGCTTTCTATATGGAGCCAAGGTTAAACGGTTTTATATTATTTACCATTTTAATGAAGACTTTATTTATCTTAATAGTGATGGGTTAAGGTTCATTGTGAATGACGAACTCTTTCCGAAATCCTACTGTGCTGTAAGTACTTTTTTGGAGAAAATAGGTTGATCATTTCATGTTATACCACTTAAAAGCCGCGTGACACTGCCATCACATTATTACAAAAATCCCACGTGTAAAACTGGTGAAGTCTTTCACCTTTCATGACAGGATAAATATTGTTTATTGTATTATTTATCATTTCAAATTATAAATGGATTGTAAATGGACGACATCTTGTGGATTAGGAAAATCTTATTATCCACATGTAATAACTTAACAAAGACTGTTTGGTGTTCCACGTTGCCAAACCTAAATAGACCCAATACACCAAAATGTTTGTATTATATTATTTAGGAATATCAGAAAATAGTATGTGGCTTCTTTGGCACAAAGATTTTTGTTTTATTGTACTGAACCAATTACTTCATGCCTACAAATGAAGGTGAACCTGTAACCCGGTGCACCGCTAGTGATTCGAAAAGTGGTGGAACAACTTACCTCGATTAACATTTATCACTTACCTTTACTGAGAAGGTCTTCGTCTTGTAGACCGAGAAATGAGCTCTGTTTTGCAAACCAACCTCCAACTGCAATGTTCTTCCATCTTTCTGTTATTCTGGAAGATGGCTCAGGCAAGGAAATTATCGAAGAACGATATTGAAGGGCCGTTGACGCGTAAACTGGAACAAATATTAAGTGATCATTAGTAACGCAAATAAAAATGAATCGTGTAAAAGAAAATAAAATGACTAAAATGATAGTATAAAAATTATTTAAGGGCAAAAAATTTGTAATCAACACTTAAACAATGTGGGATCACTGATATTGATGAAATTTGTTTGTTGATACTAATATTCTAAGTAATATGAATTTTTAATGTGGGTTTCTGATTTCTTCTGAAAAATTAGTTTATTGTAATATATTAGTCAGCTTTTTTAAATATGATAGGAAACCATATGCAGGATCGTATTAAATTAAATCAGATATACAAAATTTACAAAACCAAAAATATACTACCTGTAAAGTAAGTAAAAAATAATTTGTATTTTTTATTGTTCACTGAATATTTTTTAAATATAAGATATAGCTAAATAAAAAACCTTAATAAAACATTAAATTGAGTAAAACCTTTTTACCAAAAATGTTGTTATGGAAACGATGAAGAACATATTCGATTCATTACGGAGTATTTCCTTTTTTTGTGCCGATAACTCCTTGAATTCGGCGAGGGATCGATTTTATGATGTGAATGTTGGGCGCAACAGGTTTTTTTTTCTTTTTTTAGGAGGGTTCGCAACAGGAGAGGGCATATAAACTCTCGGGGTGCCATTTTTAAGTATATAGGGTTCGAATGCAAGGCCGCTGGATTCGAACCCGGGACCTTTACATTACAGTGATGTGCGCCGTGTCAACGCCTAAGCCGTTGCTGCTACCGACGCCCCCCAACAGCGCTATTCCTGCAAATTCTCTAGCATCACTAATCGAATTTTCACCCTCTTTGATAACTCGTTCCTAAGGTGTTTGATATGGATTAAGTTGGAACTACTTGCTGGCTACTGCAAACATTTAATTGAAGCCCAATAGCCTTACTTGTTGAAGCCGTTGCTTCATCTCAATAGCGGAAGAATGTGGGAATACATTCGAAACAATAAAACGATCATCTCTCTGTGATGTGACACGATGGCGACGATCCATGCCTTCTTGAGTAACCTTAACTATCTTGGTATGAAGACAGTTGTTCTGTAAATGTTAAGCACCCTGGCCACATACACTTGACTTCCATCTTCCAACGTTACTATGATTCTAGCCGAATCTGTATCAGTTAATTGACACTTCAAAAAATCAAACTACAGGATCGTTAGAAAGAAGCTTTACAGAATTAAGAGAAAAAATATTGACTATTCAAAGATTTATTTACAAAATCCAATTGAAAACACAAGTGGAAAATTTTATCTGATTTTATTTACAACTAATTCTTTCAAACGGACGCAATATTGTTATAAGATTATCAATGGAGGATTGTCTAAGATGTAATTAAAAACAACAAGGGTGGCCACTTTTATTGCCTCTCAGTGTATTTTCTGTACCCAAATTTAAACTATAACGTGAAGGTGAAAGTGTTCTAAGACTTTGTAAAGGTTCGTGAAGATTAATTGTGGTATTTTAAAGTTATAATATATTTTGTGCGTTGTGAAAAAATCGGAGGAATTTGGAACGGGCAAATTTTGACGAATAAAACATACATCTTGATTTTTTCCATTTTGTACCTATGTGGGTTTTAGGGTGCAACAAACAAACATCAACTTTATTTTATGCTAACAAGTTTTTTCAACTTTCAATAAGTCGTTTGGTTACTACGCCAAGACAGTAATTTGCAACTTGCATTAAGATGGAGTTAGAATCTATAACTAATTGTATCCTGTATTCTATTGTGAATAACCGAAAAATCAGCAGAAAGATTTTTTTTTCTTGACAATCCAAGATTCCAATTTAATTTGTTCTTCGTATTTACGCATAGGCTAAATTGTCAAGAGTATTTGTAAGAATTTTATGACATTTCATAGTGCACAGAATTACATTATAGCTCACTATATTTTACAATTCATGCTAAATACAATTTCAACACCGACGTACGGTATCTTCATTTAATTTTTACGTATTATTGAATTTTTCAAATTTATAACTGTTATCATTTTTCTAGTAATTTATTGTTTTCTTATTTATATGAATATTTAATCGTGTATTTTATCGATTTATGTTATACGGTATTAATTAAGTCATTATTGTTTACGTGACATACTGTTTTAAGGTTATTTGTCATTCAGAAACGTAACAAAATTTTGATGTAAACTGATAAATTTTAACTTTAAGGCGGGCGCGACTATTTTTTTGTCATTCGTGGGCAAAGTACCTCATCCCGATCCTTTGAAAAAGGTGTACTTTTGATAGAAGCTCTGATACAAATGTTTAAACATTGAAAAAATTTATTCAAAATGACAAATTGACAAAATAATGAACCATAAGCAATATGAGATCAACTGACAAATCAGTCTTTAGAAGTAAATAAAGTGCATAAAAACAAATGCATGAAAAACTGAACACTGTGAAAGACATTATTCATTACCGTCTGAATAATTTTGATTCGATGGATGTCCTCAGGGTTATAGAAACGTACCCTAAGAAAGATGAAAAACATCCAGTTCCTTATGAGGAGGAAATAAATTTTTCACACTGTAGGTAGGTATATTTTAAAGGTACCTACCTATAATAATATTATTATTTATGGTTATTACGTAATAATAATAAAAGAAAGAGAAAGATATCAAATAATAATGAAGAGTGCAAAATACAAATCTAAACTATAAGAAAAAATAGTGGATGATGGGGTTTGATCTGCGAGTTGGTAACTCATGTTGAACCGGGCATTACTGGGTCTGTCTTCATTCGCAGGTTTTTTGTTTGAGTTATTCAAACGTGTTTCGGCATTGCGCCATCTTCAGGGAAAAACGGCCTGTCATTTTGTCTGAGTAAGGTTTATATAGTATTGCGACCTTCGCTTGTCGCTGGGGGCGATGCGTTAGGGGGCGTGGTCGTCGTGCTCATTGGTCGGTCTTGGTGGCGGTTATTTCCGTGGTCAGTATTATTTGTGCTTTGTTGGTTTTGTGTTTTTTCCTGGTGTTGGTTACGAGGTTTTGTTCTTCCGAACGTTTTCGTTTTTTGTTATGAAGTGTTTTTAATTGTGTAAAGGCAGTGTGTGAATGTGAGTTTGTTGTGCGTTTATAAGTTTTCCGTCTTTAAGTGTTATTTGTTTGTATATCTTAAGGTTCTCCAGTACGTTTAGTTTTCGTCCTTTTTGTGCGCTGTGTATTAATGTCATGCTTGTTTCGATTGTCTTCGGTTCGTGGTTGTAGTGCATTACGTGTGTGGCGTAATTTGATTTCCCGCCATTGTCTCTGAATGATCTAAGATGTTCTTTGAATCGATCTGTTAGTTTCCTTCCTGTCTGCCAATGTAAGTGTATCCGCATTGACATGTGATGCTATAAACACCGTTGCTGTCTAGCGGGTTATTTGTGTCTTTGTCTCTTTTTAGTAGTTTACCTGTGTTATTGTTGGTCCTTAGTGCTGTTTTCAGTCCGAGTTTGTTGAACAGATTCGTAGTTTGTAGGTTTCTTTTCCTGTGTATGAGAATGTTGTCCATCTGTTGTTTATTTGTGTTTCGTTGTTTTTTAGAAGTTTCTGGATGTGTTTGTTTTGTATTAGTTTTTTATTGCAATGCATTGTTTGTAGTTCTTTGTTGTAGTTATCGTTGTTGAGTGGGATTGATTTTAGTCTATTTATCATGTGTCGCAGTGCTGAAAGTTTGCGTTGCTGTGGGTGGTTGGATTGTGCATTTATTATGTTGTCTGTAGCAGAGAGTTTTCTGTATATTTTGAAGTCGATAGGTTCTGGTGAGTGTCAAATCCAAGATCCTATTGATGTTTTCGGTTTCTATGGTGAACGTAATGTTTGTGTATTGTGTTAAGGTCTCTGAGTTTGTTTTCTGGGGAAGAGTTGTCTGTTAAATAGTGCATTAAGAACAAAGAGGCGTTGCGATTGTGATACACGCTGTGTGACTGTACGTGGCGTGCGCTTGACGTCGCATAGATGTGCACACCAAAACGAGAGATAATTAAATTTCAAATTTCATGTAAACTATCGACTACAAATGTTTGACGTTGAATGACAGGTGCGACTCGCCGATCCGGAAGATGATTACTTCGCAATTTAGTTTTACACATTGTAAGTGGAAACCCCACACGGCACTCTGCATACTGTAGAACAAAGTTGCTAACGTTTTTATGACGAAGGCGGTTCGCTTCCGCCTGTGGGCCCGCATGAAGGTGAAGCATAACCAGAGAAAAGCAATTGTTTAGAGTAGGTTAATAAATCACTTAACTTACAATAACTAGATTAGTTTAAAGTTCAGTAACAAAAAGACGATTCTAGTAATGTAAACAAAAAACTTGTTAAAAAGCTTCGGATTCGTTTCTAGTACACGTTAAAGCTCATAAATAGGAATTTTCATGAGAAATAAAAGTATTTTTTGGGCCGATTAGGTCAGCAACAGACTTTTTTCGGTGCCTTGCTTATCCACTTATAAATCCACAACTCTTCTGGATTGTTGGATTTTATTCAACGACCAGTGTGTTGGATAGCAACGTTTTTATGATTTCTTGAAAAAAATCAGAGGCATTTCGCAGACGATAATTTTGAGAAAAATTGAATTCGTTTTTCCTGNTATGTATATATGTGTGTGTGTGTGTGTGTCGGGGAATGATCCTCCTCGGAGAGCCCTCTTTAAAGTCGGACATAATGAACAAAACACGACTGGGTCAATTATAGTCACAATTATAATTTTATTTATTAAAAAAGATTAAAGGCACGGATACACTCCCCACTAGTGACGCTGCGGAAATGTTACTGTCAAAAACTACCCCCATACTCGAGGTTCTTATTCCTCCCGCTCCAGCAAAAATATAGTGCGCACTCAATAGTCTTTTCTAAAAACTATACCTAACTAGTGGGGAGCGTCCAAAGACTCAATGTGTTTGCCTTTCATACTTGTGGAATTAATAACTTATTTTACAACACTTATTCTCTAAAAATTAAACAATTTTACAAACAATGTGATAACTGTGAC